AGAAAGAAAGAAAGAAAGAAAGAAAGAAAGAAAGAAAGAAAGAAAGAAAACAACACAACAACAAAATAATGAAACATAGCAGAATAAGGACACTTCCTAGCGCTCACAGGGAACAGTCACCGAGATCTACAAAGTAAAAGGCAGTCCCTGGGGAAGAACATGTGTCCACATGTGCTGTGAACGTACAAAACACCTCTCAGCACACACACAGGTGCTGCCTTCTGTTAGCGCTCCGGCCATGACGTGAAGTGAGATTTCACTTTAATTCTTTTAATACAAGGGTTTTTTTGTTTTGTCCTATGACTATATTAGTGGTTCAAAGCAGTAATTAAATAAAAAACAAAAAAATCACTATCTTCTTTCACAAACAAAACCCTGAAATTAGGACTTTGTCCACACGGTCATAATACATTCTGCATTTTTGAGTCTTGCATGTCAGATTCTGGAGGTATTTTCTAACCTATTCCTTACAGACCTTCTTCTTGTCTCCATGTCAAAGCTCAGGAATCAAGGGGAACAGGATTGATTTCTCACTCTCTGTGGCACTTTGGGAAGTGATGGTCCTGGCACCGTGGGCAGAGCAAGGCCCTCCTGTCCCGCTGCTTAGCAAGGTCAGGAATTTGGCAGCTATCCTAGCAGAACAGCAGAACCAGAACTGGAACCGTGTGCTTCCACAGCCTGCATTCCCACTGCCACTTACAGACAAGGAAACTGAGGCAGGGAAACTTGTGGAGCTTGCTGAAAGCCACCCAGAGGGTAGATACATGTGCTATCTCCCAGCATGGCTCTGAGTCAAGGCTCAGTTTATGGAGCCACCTCTCTGAGAGGTCACCTAGGAGTCCTTTGGGGCAGTGGATGCATAGAGCAAAGGCAAAGGTTGGGCAGGCACTGAACCCCAGCATCCCCACACACCCCACCCCAAGTCCACACAAATCAGTCAGTTCACAGCTGCTGGCTGTGAGCTCAACACTCAGAAACCTCCAGGGGATCCTATTCCTGGTGTTGGAAGGAGGTAGTCATCATGGCGATGTTTGAGCAGATGAGAGCCAATGTGGGCAAGTTGCTCAAGAGTATTGACAGGTATGATCTGCAGAACCTGGCCACCCTGGACCGCGATGTGGAGACACAGGCCAAAGAGAACGCCTGTGATCTGGAAGCCAGTCTGGCTGTCCTGAAGTTGTACCAGTTCAACCCAGCCTTCTTTCAGACCACAGTCACTGCCCAGATCCTGCTAAAGGCCCTCACCAACCTGCCCCACACCGACTTCACCCTCTGCAAGTGCATGATCAACCAGGCACATTAAGAAGAGTGACCTATTTGTCATATTCTGTACCTTGGGGACCTGCTGGAAACCTGTCACTTCCAGGCCTTCTGGCAAGCCCTGGATGAAAACATGGACCTCCCAGAAGGTATAACTGGCTTTGAAGACTCTGAAAATTTATCCGCATGTCGTGGGCATCACATACCAGCACATAGGCCACTGGCTGCTGGCTGAGATGCTCAGGGACCTATCAGAGAGCCAGCTGAAGGTGTGGGTGAGCAAGTACGGCGGGAGTGCAGATGAGTCAGGCAGATTTTCATCCACAGCCAGGAGGAGAGCAGCAAGCCCAAGAACATCGTGGAGAAGATCGACTTCGACCGTGTGTCCAGCATCATGGCCTCCTCCCAGGAACTGCAGCCCTTTAATAAAGACTTGTTGGCTCAGGAAAAAACAAAACCCTCCAGAGGTGGCCATGTGCATCTAAGAGCAGCTGGCAGACTTCAGGGCCTTTGTTCTTCCTGAGATTAGTCAATGACTGTTAATAAGGAAAACATCATTTTTCTGGTTATGCTAAGAGAGATCAGCTTTCAGTTTGCTTTTAGAAATAGGCTGGTAGGAGCTGGGGAGATAGCTCAGTGGCTTAAGCTCCTCCCTGGCAAGTGCAAGGTCTTGAGTTTGATCCCTGGTACAAAAAAAAGAGAAAAGAAATAGAATGGCAAGGCTACAGGTGAGAAATTTTTGTGGCTTACAATTCATGAGGCTTTTGTTATATGCTATATATTTATTTATTATGTATTTATTTAAATTCACACACACACACACACACACACACACACACACACACACACTGGGCTGCTGGCACAAGACAACATTTGGGAGGCTGAGGCAGGAGGACTGCAGCAAATCAAGTCTAGGCTACGTAGTGAGTTCAGGGCCAGCCTGGACTACATAGCGATACCCTATCTGGTCAGTATTGAACGTTTTCATTCTTTTTTTCTTTTTTTAATTTTAAGCATTTGGTACAGGGTCTCAGTAGGCAGATAGGGCTTGTAACGATCCTCATATTTTCAGCCTTCCTGGTGCTGGGATTACAGGCGTGTGCCACCATGCCCGGACTCAGTCACCAGCTCTGTGCCTGGGGACCTGGCTGGCACAGAATGTGGTGCTGGGGATCTAACCCCCGTCCTGTCCCTTCACTTGCCTAAGCAGGCGCATATATAGTCTGCTGAGCTATCTCGCTGGCCCAGAATATTTTCATGGTAACATTTATTTTGTTAACTGTTTATGCCAATGTCCATAAGGAAGACAGGGGACAGATGCAGTAAGCTTGGCAAGGGCTGCCACACCTGACGTTAAAAGGTTAATTTGAACATTTGTTATGTAAGTTGATTACTTTGAAAAGATGGTCTTATTCTCTTCCAACACCTGCAGGCCACCCAGAAAAATATTCAGTTCCTAAATTTAACAAAGAAGAACGTCCCGTACTGACAGGAAGGGTTCTTAATTTCAGGGTGCAGTCCACTCTAGATTGCTGAAGCATAGAAAGATTTAGGGGATATTTTGCACAAATTTGCCAAGTTCTCCTTCCAGAACCTTGTCACTGGAAACAGTACATGAAAATAAGAAAACACGCATAAAGTGGGGAACAGTGATTGAGGATGAGGGGTGACAGGGTAGCATTAGCCAAAGGAAACAAAGCTTCAGTTATTCAAGAAAAACAAATCCTGAAGATGTAGCAACTGCGGTACCCACAGGGCTGTATTGTAGTGGCGCATGCCTATAACGCCAGTCCTCAGGATGCTGAGGGAGGAGGACCACTAGGAGTCCGTGGCCAGCCTGGGCTGCATAGCGAATTCAAGGCCAGCTTGAACTACGTAGCAAAACTGTGTCTTTAAAAAGCAAAGTACTGGGCTGGTGAGATGGCTCAGTGGTCTAAAGCACCTACTTAGAACAAGCTAAGCTAAATCAAAGCACAGGGACCACGGTTCAATCCCCCAGCACCACATGCCAGCCAGCCCCGCCCCCTGGTGGGCTGAGCTGGCCACACACACACACACACACACACACACACACAAATAAATAAATTTTAAAAAAAAATAATAATAATAAAGCAAAGTACTGTACTGTACGCTTAAATCTTCACCACGAGGGCAGATCTTATGTTAAGTAATTTTGTCACAAATAATGATAATACTAAAAAGAGTGGTAGAAAACTTTCGGACACCACAGACATGGGGATGGCATAGACTGTGAGCCCTGCGAGACAGGCACTGTGCTGAGATGAACGGCCTTTGGGCTTCTCATCTCAGGGAACTCAGTCTGTTTTCCAATAAGTTATACCAAGTTCCTATTCCATGACCTTTAAAAAGAATGCAGGACACTTCCTGCGGTACGTCAGGAAAGATGCCAACTCGCCATGCTATGCGGCTGCTTCGCATCCCTCTTCTATCTCGGTCATCACCGTCACTATGAACAACAAGAAGAAGTCGTTCCTGGGCATGCCCATGCCACTTGGCTATGTGCCAGGGCTGGGCCACAGTGCCACTGGCTTCACCACTCACTCAGACATTGGGCCTGCCTGGGGCGCAAATGATCCTGTGAATGACCGCCATGCACCACCAGGGAAGAGAACCATGGAAGGCCAGATGAAGAAAAACCAGGCTGCTGCTGCTGCTGCTGATGGCAAGGATCTGAATGACGCTAACTATGATGAGTTTGACGGTTATGCTGGGAGCCTCTTCTCAAGTGGACCTTATGAAGAAATGATGAAGCAGATGCTTTTTATGCAGCTCTGGATAAAAGGATGGATGAAAGAGAGAAAGAAGAGGTTGAGAAATACCAAATGGAATGCCCCAAAATCCAGCAGCAGTTTTCAAATCTCAAAAGGAAGTTGGCAGAGGTCCCAGAAGAAGAGTAGCTAAGCATCCCAGAGGTCAGCGACGCCAGAAACAAACATCAGCAGAATCCCTGCTATGAGAAGCTGGCTCTTGTTCCTGATAGCTTTTTCACCAAACATTTACAGACAGGAGAGAACCATACTTCTGTGGATCCCTGGCAAACTTAATTTGGTCTGAACACGCCCTATCCAGGTGGGCTCAGCCATAACCAGGTGAAATAACACCAGGTCTGATGACCCCTGGCACAGCTGGACATGAGGAAGACTGGGCAAACCAGGATCACTCTGATGGACATGAGGTTGAGTCACGTGTCTGACTCAGTGAGTGGACAGACTGTTGTGGGCCCCAAAGGCTACCCGACAGATTTAAACTGTATGATCCTAACCCATGGAGGGGACATCAGTGATATCAAGAAAGCACTACTGGGCCGAGTTCCGGGAGCCCCCAGACCCAGTCCTAGCCCAAGTCCGGAATTTCTGCCGACTTCCGGGAACCCCCAGACCCAGTCCTAGCCCTGGTCCGCAGCAGGAAGGAGCTGAGCACAGCAGCCAGACCTAAGCCAGAC